TATATATTGTTGGCAGTATGTGAGCAAAGTCAGCCCTCCCCAACACTGCATAGGATATGATAGGAAAGGGAGAACATGCTGTCAAATGCTTAATGTAGGAGCTTAGCTGTGATTTCAGAAGCAGATCATATGAAGAATCAGAATACAGGTAACCGAGGTGCCTCCACTAATGGAAAATCACATTATTTGTCACATTTCTAGAACAGCAAGAAAATTATGACTTGTTATGGGCTGGAATAAGTGAATTGGACAAAGTTTGTGGACCCAGGAAAAAAGCCCCTAAATCCAAACATATTGTTAAACTCTATTAAAGTCTATGACAGCTGAACCTTGTTATTTTCTTCTTTTTTAAGTTCGGTTTTGCAAGCTATTGGTAAAATAGAGCGTGTGTTACTGGGTGTTCTGTCGAAAGTTTCAACTCGTCGAGCTCTCCAACGACCTGACTTCCGGTTTCGTTAGAAGTAAGAGTATTGGCCGAGAAGGCTCTACTGCACGTGCGCCACCCTATACACATTCAGTACTCCACAGCAATAATGTATTAAAATGAACTAGGGTCAGATTCATCCAGCACGTTATTAATCTTAGTTTCCCCACTCAATATGTCCGCCACTTGCGGCCATATTGAGTGGTGCAACTCAGATTAATAACGTGCTGAATTAGTCTGAACCTAGTTAATTTTAGTACTTTATTGCTGTTTAGTATGTGTATAGGGAAATGCCGTGGGTGGTGCACGTGCAGTAGAGCATTTCCCTATACAATACTCTTATTCTAACTAAACCGGAAGTCAGGTCGTTAGAGATCTCAAGGAGTTGGAGTTTTCGATAGAACATAGGCACTGTCATAGGGGACATGTACCAAATGCAAAAATTGTTTTAGAGATACTGTTTAGCAGGTAGAAGGTCTTTTAATGCAGCTTAAAGAGCAACATTAGAAATACACAAATCATTTAAAATGACATGCTTGGGGGATACCTTAAAGCGACAAATGCATTCAAATAGATTAACTATTAGGAATACTGTACCTTATTTGTGTGTCCCTCTGCTGTAGGTACTCAAATCATCTCTGAATTCATGCTGACACCGTCCTTCCTTCTAGGGGGTGGCTATTGTTCTACATGTTCCCTGTGTGTGTTGTAAAGTAGTCACCACTTCAAGATCACTCCTGTGATGGACTACAATCTCACATTTAGCTTACAAATAAGTATTGAAATTATAGTCCAACACAGGATTAAGCTTGGAGCGTTGGCTACTTTACAACACACACAGAACTATGTGGAACAAAAGTAGCCACCCTCCAGAAGAAAGGACAGTGCAAGCACCAATTCAGAGATGATTTGAGGATCTACAGCTGAGTGATACACAAATAAGATATATTTCTGTTAATAGTTAACTACTTGAATGCATTTTTAAGATTTAACTACTGAGTTAAAGTGACATTAAACCCTCAGATTTTTTAACATAAACCAACACTGTAATGTGTGCCTTACTGTAATCCATGGTAGTTTTCCTTCTCTTTGCTGCTCTTCCTTTTAAATCCTCATGTCTTCTCATGCTTGGGGAGAACTTCCCTTTGCAGCTCAGTGCCTCTTCCTCTAGTGCTGGCTCAGGTTGCAAACCTACAGACAGACACCATGTATCCATTTCAGAGACAGGGCAGTCTGCTGCAAAACAGACGTTCTGCTCAGCATGAGAACAGATACAGATTTAAAAGAAGAGCAGCAAAGAGAAGGGAAACAACCATGGATTACAGCAAGGCACACATTACTGTATTCCTAGATTCCCTCCCAATGCTGAGGGTACGTGGCCTTGTATGGCTTAGGAGGGGTGAGCCATACACTTCTCCCTTTTTCCAGACCACCCCGGGCTGCATGTGATTTTTTCTCTCAACCCTTTTGCTGCAAGGCCCTGCTGTCTACTTTTGACCCCAGCTGGCAAGACCATTTTTGTAATTTTTCACTTTTGTTTCATAATTTTTTGCTTACAGCTTACAGAGTTTGTAAAATACCCCCAAACCATAGATTTCATGAAAGTACAGAGTAAAATGCAAAATAAAAAAAAGTCACTGATTTTGGAGGTTCAATGATAGTCTATGTGATGTTTGTATTATTTGCTATGTTTATCAAAACAATATTCTCAATAAAAATACACAAACATCATTATTAGCACATAAACACAACATAACTTACAAAATTCATACTAAGTATAAAATATAAAACTATACTGAGATCATAAGTAACACATATTTGCACATTTTAAATTGTGTCTTTTTTGTGAAATAGTGAAAATTGAAGGTACATAAAACCGTAAATAAGAAACTTAAAGGAGAATTATGAACTGAGTGATTTTCACTCAGCCTCATAATCTGAGCCAACCTGTGACAATGAAACTGTCACAGGTCGGCTCAGTAGATTGGGAAGTTAGCGAACACATACCGGCGCTCGCTCACTTCTCGATCCTGTGCCGGCAGAGAGCCGTGACAGGGGAGGGACTGGATCCCCCCTCCCCTGTCCGATTCTCCAGCACTGACTGGCGGAACGGATGGGGGAGGGGGCGGGTACAGCTGGCTCTGCCTCTAGATAGGCAGAGCCAGCTGTCACTCACACAGCAGGGTGGATCCAGACAGAATTGTCAGGATCCGTTTGGGCTGCGGCGTCTCAGTATACCCCGAGCTGTAGCTCGCGGTATACTGAGCTTTGGGTGACGGGCGGACGCTAGTTTGTGTCCTCCCGTTACCCTTAGGGGAAAAGCCTTAACCCCATAGTTCCTCTTTAAAATGAAAAAAATGTAGCTTGCTTTCACACCTTTGCCTTGTGGTCACACCTAATCAACAGTGCTATGTGTCAGCTGCATTGGTGCATGTTGCTATAAAATGACCCAGGCATACATTTTATTGCAATACCATGCATTGCAACACGTGACAATGCATCACAACACGCCTAACATAGCTTTGAATTACTGCAATTAAAAAAGGTTATGTGCTGTAGTATGTGTTTTTTATGCACATTAACATGTGTTGCATTATGGCAGCCTATTAATTTGAATGGGCTGGCCAACGGACAGAAATCACACCAAAAAGGTGCAAAATGTAGCGCACCACAACGCATGTTAATACATTACCATTTATTGTGGTGCTCTGCAACAAACGTGTGTTAGCAAGGTGCATTGGGGTGCAATGAAAAATAAAAAATACTGCAGCGCACCAACAAGAACAACATGTGTTTTCATGTACTGTGGCAACTTGCACAATGTCGTGCAATATTTCCACATTTCATACAAATGAATGGATTTTTTTGCTTTTTCTTATTATTTCTTACTTTACTTTTTACAATTTTCATTATTGTTTTTATTATTTTTTTAAATTTATATTTTTTTATTAGTGGGGATTTGAAAAGACCCCTGATATTTCAATTAAAGTAGAAGTAGAAAAAGAGAAAAGAGAAAGATCGAGGACACAGTTATCAATTTCCTTCTCTACGCAGTCACAGCACTTACTATTGTGAACAGGAAGTGCTCAGTACATGTCGTTGCCACTCAGTTTTACTATGCCACTCTGAAACAAACCAGTTCTGGTGGCTCCAATGTTACAACCCAGATAACAAGTAGTGCCAGCATACACGCCAGTCAGTCATTGTGACAACCCGCCTTGGTCAGCACCTACTTTAGTTAGGTCGTATTTGTCAAATTAACATCCACATGAATGGCAGGACCCAAGGTTTCTCAACAGAACATTGCCCAAAGCACCACATTGCTTGAGCCAGCTTGCCTTCTTCCCATGGTGCAACCTGGTGCCATCTCTTCCCCAGATAAGTGATACACACACATTTTGTCCTCCACATGATTTAGAAGAAGATATGATTCATCAGACCAGGCCATCTTCTTCCATATCTCTCTGATACAGTTCTGATGCTCATGTGCCCATTGTAGGCATTTTTGGCAGTAGGCACAGACACCCTATCTGGTCAGCGGCTACACAGCCCCATACGCAACAAACTGCGATGCACTATGTGTTCAGACACCTTTATATCAGAACAAGCATTAACTTTTTTAGCTATTTGAGCTACAGTATCTCTTCTATTGGATTTGATTACACAAGAACCCTTATGCATCAGTGAACCATGGCCACCATGAACCTGTCACTGGTTCACCGATTTTCCTTCCTTGGACCACTTTTGTGGTAGGTCATGACCACTGCAGACCAGGAACATCCTACAAGAGCTGCAGTTTTGGAGTTGCTCTGACCCATTCATCTAGCCATCACAATATAGCCCTTGTCAAAGTCACTCAAATCCTTATGCTTGCCAATTTTTTTATTTGTCCCCATCTCACATGCATACATACGAGGGCCAATTTAGACAGGAGGCAATTCATCTTCCAGCATGTCCTGGCATGTGGGACAAAACAGGGTACCCGGAGGAAACCCCCACAAGCACAGGGAGAACATGCAAACTCCTTGCAGTGCTGCAAGGCAGAAGTGCTAACCACTACGCAACTGTACCACTATGCCACAGAGGTGCAAATCTTTACAAAATGTGCTCTTATAAATGGGTTAAGAAAAATTACACCTAAACATACTTTATAAGATTATAATGCGGTCAGGAATATTATATACACATTCTGCTTATTTGTTTCTCTTTGAAGATATAGATAGCCTACTATAAATTGCTATAGCTATGTATGCAGTATAATTCAACAAGTTTTCTGGAAATATACAAAAATAAACAGCAAATCTCTAAGGTATTCCATTTCGTGATGTAATAATGTAATGGAATAATAAATGTTAGCATTCTAAGGCTAACAGTAAAATGGAAGCATGCCTTACATACATAAGCATACAGCTAGTAATTGGATTCTAATCTGAAGAATTGTATTTATGCATTTGCTGGCAATTTTGAAGTTGTCTCTTTACATTTAGAGATAGTGTTTGTGAAAATTCATGAAACTCTAAGACATGATGATCCTTTTGTCAATATGTGATTACAGGGCTATGTTCAATTCAATTACCTCTTGGCTCTTGGTACAGATTCTCTAGTCCTTCGAAAGGGTGATCTGTGAGGAATATTCGCACAGTATCAAGTGCACTCATGATAACAGGTTCCTTGGCTTTTAACTCCCTTTTGAAGGCCTGGAAGTAAAAAACAAAACCATAAATAGAAATGGGTTTTCTTCAATGTGCAATATTTAATAAAGAAGCAGGAAATCCAAACAATATACAATGCTATTAGTAATAATAATAACAACAACAATAACAGCATCAAAAGAATGAGAACACCAACACTTTAGATATGGCTAGACTCACTGACTGCATAGCCCATACAACTTTTAGAGATTTTTATTTACCTTTGGTATACAAACCAATATAGTTGTGTTTCTGATGGTGTGCTGGTATTTGTGGTGGTATTTTCTGATTCACATTAATACAGAGAAAGAGGGTAGTTGCTTGTGTAGCACCCCCCTGATCCTCAAAGTCATGTGAGGGATCCCAGAGGCAGAGTGGCTAGCACTTTACCTCAGCGGTAAGTCCTTGACTGTTTGTGGGGTGCAAATGTAAGTTAGGCGCCAGTCACTTTAAGGTGTTTTAAAGATTGTATACATCATAGCAGCTCACAAGAAGAGAGGGGTAAGGACTTCAGACACCTGAGACACATACAGACTCCAGACTCCATATCCACTTTCCAGCTATACAGTACAAAGCCTGGATCAGGGTCTCTGTATTGTAGAGCAGCTCACAAGGAGATATGTATAAGGGCAGACTTGTTCATGCATCCTCCTAGAGAGGAACTATGCCCCTGCAAAGATCCAGCTTTGATCCATATTCACCTCCCAGGAGAGTCTCTTGCCTAGGCACTCCATCTTGGGTCAGCTTCCCCCTCTTCCAGGCAGGACAGCTTCAGGCCAAAATCCATGCCAACATGTGAAATGGAGGCCTGGATTTGGGTCTGGAGCTCAAAGGTAGCAGGCCTAGCAGAGCTATAATCAATAAATTTGGCTTAGACTGTTAAAAACTTAGCAAAAAACTAAATTGTAGGTGTTACCCCACTTAGTGCCAGGTAACTACACTTGGAAACAAAAGATGAAGTTTCCAAAGCCTATAGTACAAAAACATTCATTTATTGTAAGTATTTGCTTTTTTAATGATGCAAATTGAGGTTTTCCTTGTATCCACGTTGCATCCCTCTCCTCTAGTGATGACCAAATTGTCATGCTTAAAATCATCCACATATATTGTGTTCAAGAAGCTAAATACAGAAGATTCAATGCATCTAGCTGTTGCACCAACAATATACAACCTTTTAAAAGCCAAAAGGCTGGGGAAAGAGTGGTAAAGATTGTACATAATGATGCCGTTGCTTATAAGACCATAAGAATGTCTAACATAAAATTGAATAGTTTAACAGATTTTCTGAGCATATATCTAATATGCAAATAAATAAGTAACAGCTGGGGATATCTATAGTTTTACAAAGTTAGGGGAGAAAAAGGCAGGGGTCTGGGAATTTGAGATTAAAAGTACAAAGTGAGAAGTATTGAAATAAAGTTTCAACTTAGCTTTGATTCTCTTCCACAAAGTCACATAAGGGTTGCAAGAATTCTCATTTCTAAATATGTATTAGTATGGGACTGTACGGTGATTATGTAAAGAAATAAAACATTTAGGCAGATTTCAGTCCTTCCCACAGGGCATGGGCATATCTAGATGTTCAGTTGACTAAATGTTGGTGGTGGTTTGCCATATAGTAATGTAATGCAAAAATAATTGATTTCATATGATAGGGTCAAATTACTTATGTTGTAGGGATTAAAGAGCATTGTGCTGGACAGCCAATGGAAGATTGTCAAATAGGTAAAGAAATTATGCAACAATAAAAGTTCCAACTTTGTAGTTTGGCCATATTGTTATAGTTTATTCCTGCTTTAGCTGTCAAAATTGAGAAAACTTTTGTTATATATTTGTTATACGTTCCTTTTCACATAGCATACCCCAAAAAAAATATATATATTTAAATATTCCAACATTTTAGATCTGTGTTGCAGTCCTTTTCAAGCTTCCCCCTCAGTTTCAGTAACAACAAACTCTGACTGTACCCATAGAAAGACTAGGGGCAGACTGAGCTCCTCCTCATTAACATACGATGGTTCTAGATCTTTAACCCTTTAACCCAGACAGTGTTCAAATCTAGTTTACAATTGATAATGCCAGCACAATACAGACAGGGTTAATAATGTTAACATTAATCCCCCCCCCCCCCCCCTGCATTGCAGACAGAAATTCAGTACAGAGAACAACTTTTCATAAATAAGCATGTTTTGTGCAAGCAACAACGTATCTACTTTTTTAATGTTATGTAAATTAAAAACATGTAACACATATCAAATAGGTTTTATCCCAATTTGGCTGCAAAAGTGGACAATAGTTTAAGGTAGTTGTTGTGGCTGTAAAGAGTGGAATAGGTAATGTAGATGAGTGAAGGGACACACTGATAATCACCTTGCCAGAGCTCCTTTTGCAGCTTAGCTGGCAAAATATGCCTCCCATGTGACAATGCCAGTGCACAGGCCTAAAATTCAATCGGTAGGTCCGACACTCTAACATTACAAAGTAAGTGATGTCCCTGCTTCCCCGAGTGCATTGTACTGGCTGCAACCAGGGAGAAGTGTCAGTGGATTGCTGGCAAAGTGTTAACTAGGGGCAAAGTAACATTGAACATTGAAGTGGGCAAGGTTACTGTGCCTCTGTAAGGCTTTTTTAAATGATTTTCATAAATGTAGCAACAGCACTTCACATTTTTCTTTATTGGCTATGTAAAGTAGGAGATACCCATGAATCTATTATTGTTTGTGTAGGTTTAGAAGGGAGGTTCAGTCAAATCCAACCTTACCAAAAGGGGCCCCTGATTAAATAACACTTTAAAACCTACTTGTTCTACAATCCTTTTTTCCTTAGTAAGCCACTTTCACTTTTGCAACAGAAATTATATAATCGCCAGCTTGTTAAAAGAAAAGAAAGAAAAAATGCAGACAATACGAATATAAGGAAGATTATGATTAAAATTTACTGTACACATTGCAAATTTTCTTCTAATTTTTTGTGCACAGCTGCTAATAAAGGAGGAACTTCTAGAACAAATATATTTTGAGGTGCAATCAAATGCAAGGCTGAAGTAGACACAGTTTTGCGCTAACATTTTAGCCATTTTTTATTGGGTATCTTTTGCTTTGAACTTGTCCTATCTTTTGGCATGTAAAATATCAGTGTTTTACATTACATAAATTATAAATCCTTATTGTTGTATGTCATAGCCTGTCAATTAATGTTATCTTCTGTCTTTAAAGAGAAAACATTAGGAAGAATTAAGCCTCTACTGTATTTCAGGTATATGTTGTGTTACTTATTTCCCCCTGCCCAATGGCACAGCACCTTTCTTATATTATCCACACAGAAGCACACAATGTGGTTGTAAAACAGACAGATAATTTCATAGTTGGTGCACAGGTGCACAATATTAGTACAAAACATACATATAAGTTCTTAATGAGCTGCAGTGCAGATGAAAGGTGCACAATTTGGTGTAAAGTAGTCAGATGACTGCAAAGTGGAGTGCAGATCAGATGCAGGGGTGCACAATGGAAGGGTAAAGTAGACAGAGGAATGGATAGTGAGGTGGAGAGAGGACAATGGTGCACAACTGGGGCATTAGTACAGATGATTGCATAGCAGGGTGCAAACTAGACATGGGTACACAGTGGGAATGTAAAGGGAGACAGCGGAGAGGTGGATAATAAAGGGCATAGCAAAAGTGTATACAGTTGGATACAGAGAGATGAGTCACAATGGTCTTCAAAGTGAATAGTATGGATGTAAAACAGACGGAATGGTGCACAACTATGATGTAAAGTAGGCAGAGAGGTGCAAAAGGAATATGTAAAACAGACAGAGGGGCAAAGTGGGGGCAGTATGGACACAGGGGTACATAGTAGTGTTGCAAATCAGACAGAATGGTATATAGTAAACGACAGAGGGGTTCATAGTAGAGTTCAGAGCAGAAAGAAGTTTACAAAGTGGAGTAGAGAGCAGGCAAGGGTATATACAGTGGGTTGGAGCTCCAGGAAGTGCAAAAAGTGCTCTGAAGACATTGTTTACCAATATAGTCAGTTAGGTAATTGAAGTGAACAGTATTGCCTAGCAGACAACAGACTAAGCTGAAATATTTTCATACTGTATCCTTCCTTTATTTATTTCCAAGACATTTTGTGATAAAGTCTTTCTGGGGGGAGTAACATGAGGCGTGGGCTTCAGCATGCTTTTGGCCAGGGAAGCCTCAGAAGAAAATATTTCCGGACCATTGCTTTAAAAAAATGGTAGTTTTAACCTTCATGATCCTTACACCTCACCCATGATATTTATGTATTTCAGATAAGACTTTATCTGTCTTACTTTATTAAAATTTTAGTTTTTACTCTTGTACAGTGATATAATAAACATCAATCTGCCACACATGCTATACTGCCATCCTGATCCTGGGCCGGGTTTGTCTATCTTAAAAAAATAAAAAGTTTCAAGTACTTTTAAAATGGTGGGGCTTGAAATTTATTTTTGGGATTCCTAGGACTGAAGATGACCATCTCTATTATATTATGGGTAAAGCAGTCAAGGAGAATACATATTCTTGTTTTTGACACTACATGTAGATAATTGTATCCTATGATTAGCTGAGGCTAGAAAAATATGTCCATATAGTCAAACATTTCCAGCTTGGGTAACTCATTCTTAATTGACTGACAATGAGTTAATATCAAGTACAAATAGTTTTTTACATTTAGACAATGATGATGGATGCATGCAGTATGAACAGCTACAAAAAGTGGAAGCTAGCAAAATAGTCTTACCGGAAACTAAATGGCCATCCTCCCACATTTTCTAGTATCAGGCTGGGAACTATTGTTTATTGCTTACAACATGCCAATAAATACTATAATGTTATATACAATAAAAGTGGGCCTAGCTTATAATAACTAATCTTATCTTGACTTCTGATAAGGTTTTTATTATTTTATGCATATATTCCTCCAACACTTTCCTTCCAGCATGACAGGGTTCTGCTTGTGTAATTGCTGGAGACGTGC